GGGCCGGGTTTCGCTGAGGACCCCTGGTTTCGTTGGGGGGGCTCCTTACAAATTGGTTGGTTTTGCCTGATTCGGGCCCGGTTTCATTTGGGACGTCCTCACAATTCGCGTGGGTGTGCTTGATTAGGGCCATGGTTCGCTGCAGAAGTCCTCACTATGTGTCTGGCTTGGCAACGTTGTCAGCCCGATTTCACTGGAGAGGCCCTCACCGAATCCTTCGTGCAAGAAGGTGCGCACGAAAAGTCTTTACATGTTTGGGACATTCGAGACGCATTTTCATGATCCATTGCCCCGTTCTCCCTAATCGCAACCTATTATGCATGTTATGTGTTTCGTCGTGTTTCTCCTCCCTCCTCCCCGTCCACGTATCCTTTTTTCCCGCCCCCTTTTCATCCTCGTCGACCTCCGTCTCTATGACTAATATCGGAGGTGGGGCGGGGGGGGGGGGGCGAGATCGCAGTAAAACGGAAAGTCCCCCGCCGGGAAATCGGTTTCGCTTTCGCGTTCGCGCGCGCGGGCGAGGCGAAGCTGCGTGGGCCGGCGAGAGGAAAGAACCCTCCTCTCGGGAGGCCGCGGACGGACTCTTGGCTCCCCCCGGGCTGTTACGCGATGGCTGGGATTGTCGCGCCGTGGTGTCGTGGTGTCGTGGCGTCGTGATCTCGTGGTGCCGTGGTGTCGTTGTGTGGTGTCGTGGTGTCGTGGTGACGCGGTGTCGCGGTGTCGTGGTGTCGTGGTGTCGTGATGCCGTGGTGTCGTGTCGTATTGCCGTGGTGGCGCGGTGTCGTGGTGTCGCGGTGTCGTGGTGTCGTGTTGTCGTGGCGTCGTGGTCTCGTGGTGTCGTGGTTGGGTGTCGTGGGGTCGTGGTGACGCGGTGTCGCGGTGTCGTGGTGTCGTGGTGGCGTGGTGTCGTGGTGTCGGTGTCGCGATGTGGTGTCGTCGTGGTGTGGCGCTGTCGTGTGTGGTGTCGTGGTGTCGTGGTGTGGCGTCATGGTGTCGTGGTGTCGTGGTGACGTGGTCTCGTGGTGACGTGGTGTCGTCGTGGTGTCGTGGTGTCGTGGTGTCGTGGTGACGTGGCGTCGTGGTGACGTGGTGTCGTGGTGTCGTGGTGCCGAGGTGTGGTGCCGAGGTCGTGGTGTCGTGGTGTGTCGTGGTGACGCGGTGTTGCGGTGTCGTGGTGTCGTGGTGTCGTGGCGTCGTCGTGTGGTGTCGTGGCGTCGTGGTGGCGTCGTGTCGTGGTGTCGTGGTGTGGTCTCGCGGTGTCGCGGTGTCGTGGTGTCGTGGTGTCGTGGCGTCGTGGTGTCGTGGTGACGCGGCGTAGCGGTGTCGTGATGTCGTGGTGTGGTGTCGTAGTGTGGTGTCTTGGTGTCGCGGTGTCGTGGTGTGGTGCCATGATATCGTGGTGTTGAGTCGTGCTGTCGTGGTGTGGTGTGGTGGCATCGTGGTGCCGCGGTGTCGCCGTGTCGTTGTGTCGTGGTGGCGTGGTGTCTTGGTGTGATGTCGTGGTGTCGTGTTGTGTTGTCGTGGTGTCGTGGTGTCGCGCTGTCGTGGTGTCGTGGTGTCGTGGTGTCGTGATGTGGTGTCGTGCTGTCGTGGTAACGCGGTCTCGCGGCGTCGTGGTGTCGTGGTGGGATAGCGGGACCCAGAGTCGGATGGATAGTGAGATTGATACGTAGTGGGATCGGCAGTGAGATCCAGAGTCGTTGCGTGTGCGTCTTCACCAAGAAGCATTGTCTCAGTCATCGCAGTTGTCATCAGTTCGTTCCTTTCGCCGCCCCCGCCCCCCGCCCCCGCCCCCCCCCCTACACACATACACACACACACGCGCGCACACACACACACACAACCTCCTTACCACCCGAAGGGTTGTCGTATAGCATCAGTTGTCCATTCCACGGGGCGGAGCCGCGCCCCGACCGCCGACGACGAGGGCGTCGACGACTGAAGTGCGAGTTCGCACATGCCGCACGGGAAGTCCCCAGGAACCCCCCCCCCCCCTCCGGCCCCCCCCACCGGGCCTGTAGAAGTATTGTCGGAAGTGCCACCAACGAAGCCAGAGCCCACGCGCGGACTGCCTCTGCCCTGCGCCCCCCATCCTCCAACCCTCGCCTGATCCTCGTCTAGCCCCATCAACATTCTGGTCCTGCTGATGCTCACGATGCCGCTGCCCCTCGTCCTCCGCAGAGCGCTACGCTGGCTTTTTGTATCGCGCACACGGATAAGCATGCGCGGCTGGACGCGTCTGCTCACCGATGGAAGTGCCCATCCCCCTGAGCAGCGGAGACTAAGCAGGGGCGCCCTTCAAGTCATTACGGGCCTCTGCCAATTCGTGCAAGAAAATAATGCTGGTCCACCGGTGCATGTGCTGCACCATGTACTTGTACCTGTTCGTGACACGGAACGTCTGCTCGCAGATGGAAGGATTCACCCCCTTGAGCCGCGCGGCGTTCTCAGGTACATATGGGTGGCAATTTGCCAGGCACCGCTCGTCCACGTGCCCTTTCGCGTGGAGGCGGTCCGTAATGTGATGCATCGCGGGGTATGCGAGCTCAGCCGCCGCCGCCGACTCATGTGCCCGCGCACCCGCGAACTTCCGGAGGTGGCAGGAGTCATCGTGCACCGAGACGTTGAAGTCCATGATTCCCCGCAGCTCGGCCAGGAAAAAGTACCTCTGAGACAAGCTCTCCGTGCCGTAGAACTCTTTCATGTGTAAGATGTACCCGTCCGGGTCGCACGCCACCAGCCAGCCCCCGGAGCGCTGCGCGAGCGATCGGCCTTTCACCGCTTCCTTGTGAGTCTGACACCCAGTCGCACCAAGCGCGGCCTCGTCGGATGCCAAAGTCACGTGTCCGCAACACTTGGACCAGTACTCTGACAGAGCGAGTTTGCCGACAGATCCGGCGCAGACCCACTGCCGCTGTGGCGCACCGCCAGCCTCCGCTCCCCCGCGGACTACTGCCACTTGGTACGCCTGTGCGTCCGCCGCGTCGAGGAGCGCCTCCGTCTTGCGGTGCGCGACGACCTTGTCGGGCGCCGCTTGCTTGCCTCGCACGCGTCGGGCACATTGCTCCTTGCACTGATGCTTCAGGCAATGCCGACTACCTCTCGCGCGAGTCTCTGGGCACGAAATAGCCGTGAATTTCCCCAGCCGGCGCGAGTGAATGAGCGATGCCAGGGGTCGTCCGCAGACCCTCCACCGACGGAGCTTCGCATTGCCATCGAAAACAACGATGGCGTGGATCTTCGGCCTTCTGCCCATGCGCCTCTGCAGCATGAAATCCTCGTACCACGGGCTGACGCTGACGGCGAGGTCGGCCGGGTCCATGGACAGGTTCACTTCTTTCTCAGGGACGCTCAAGCTCTTCGCTGCGTAGCGCTGGTGCGTGCGCACGACGATGCGCCAAGCCAACCATGCCCCCCTCAACTTCTCCCGGGCTTCATCGGGCACATCGGCGAGGCCGCCCGCCCGGCGCGCCGCGGCCCCGTGCACCGCGGCTTCGCCAGTGAAGGATGCGAAGTGACGCACGAGGCGCTGGGTGTACTGCCGCAGCCACGCAGTCGTCACGCCCCAGCCGGCCGTGCAGAAGAAGTACTGCATCTCCGCGCCTTCCGGCCATGACCAGAAATGGTGCTCCGCGCCTGCCTCCGACTCGCTCCAATAATTGTGCCAGACATAACGCCCAGACAGCCTGCACTCCTTCGAGCGGCATCGCAAGGGCGTGTGGGTGACGCGCTGCCAGCCGTCGACGAAGAGCACTTTCGCGTCAACGCTCTTGGACGAGCACACCTGCATGGCCATGTCGCACCCCGTGCAGATCCTTCCCGGGCACTGCGCGCACCTCTGGGGCGGCTGGAAACCCGCGGCCGCGAGCGCCGCGGCGACCTGGGGCGCCGCGCCGAGGAGCTCCGGGCAATGTGCTGCGAGCGCATCTGCAACAAGCTTCGCCGGTATCGTGCCCAGCCCGCCAGGCACCTGCAACGCCATGCCCCCTGCCGCGCCGACCCGCCTCCGGGGGCTTGCGCGCAGGCCGCCGCTGGGCAATCGCGGCTCGCCCTCGCAACCTCTGCCAGCCCGCCCCTGTCTCGCTCCCGCCGTGTATTCGTATATGTCTCTCTCGTTCAATACTTATGTATATAAATATGTATACATCTATAAAAAGGCGCGTGTTACTTCACATCTCTCTGTATATGTATATATATATGTATATATGTGTATATATATATATATCGTTTGTTTGTTTCTCTCTCTCTCTCTCTCTCTCCCCGAGGTCTGTATCTCGCGCCGTCTGCCCTACTTGCAGAATTGTTTATCCCTCTCTCTCTCTGTCTCTCTATCTCCCCCCCCCTCTTCCTCACCATGACTCTCCTTCTCTCTCTCTCTCTGTCTCTCTCTCTCTCTCTCTCTTTCTCTTTCTCTCTCTGTCTCTCTCTGTCTCTCTCTCTCTCTCTCTCTCTCTCTCTCTCTCTCTCTCTCCCCGAGGTCTGTATCTCGCGCCGTCTGCCCTACTTGCAGAATTGTTTATCCCTCTCTCTCTGTGTCTCTCTATCTCCCCCCCTCTTCCTCACCATGACTCTCCTTCTCTCTCTCTCTCTGTCTGTCTCTCTCTCTCTCTCTCTCTCTCTCTCTCTCTATCTCTCTCTCTCTCTTTCTCTTTATCTTCTCTCTCTCTCTCTCTCTCTCTCTCTCTCTCTCTCTCTCTCTCTCTCTTTTTTTTTCTCTCTCTCTCTCTGTCTCTCGCCCCGCCCGACGGCTTGGGCCCCCCGCCCCCCGCCTCCCTCGGGCGACCGTCCAGCGCGGATGGGGCGGCCGGGCTCGTCAATGCGCGCTAGCCACGCCCCCGCCGCCCCGTTGTTTTTTCCACGGCATCAATCGAAGCGCGCAGCGCCAATGGCCCCCGCCGCCGCGGCCCCCCGTCGGGGCCCCGCCGACGACCAGCCCATGTGCACGCAGGGATCGCTAGCGCGATCGACGCGCGACCGCTGGGAGTGCACGAGCAGCAAAACTACTCGCCTGGCGCGAGCGCGCCCGCAGCCTCCGCACTCAGGGAAGCGCCCCCCCCGGCGCGCGCGGGCGCGCCCGCTGCCGCCTCGCCCGGGCCGGCTGCGCCCCCGGCGCGCTCTTCGGCTGCGCCGGCGGCCGAGTCGGCAGCGGCCCCCCGAGCGCGCTTCTTCGGCGGCCTAGCCGACTGCTTCTCCGCTCTCTTCGACGCGCACTCCATGTACGTCGCCAAACCCAACTGGCACATCTCCATGAGGCGGTTGTGGAACATGCCCGCGGCCGCCGCGTCGCCCTGCGGGGGCGCCTGCAGGTCGACGCATGAGTGGCCGCGGCGCTCGGGGACCTCTCGGGGGACATCAACTATCCGCCTCGCCGATCACGGGAAGCCCCCGCCGCCCCCATGGGCCCAGAATCCGCGCGCACGCCCCCCCGGCGCGACCGCGGAGGCGCGCGCGCCCCAATCCTGGTCCGGGGGCTGGCCGGGGCGCGAGCGCGATCGGTGAGGCGAGTTGGTTGTGGCCCATCCAGACCTCGGAGTCGGCGCGGTGCACGAACGTGCCGACGCGGTACTTCTCCAGGCCTGCGCGCATGACGGCTTCCCAGTGCGCCCTGCACAATGCCTTCCTGGATCGCTTGGCCCCCTCGCCCGCCGACACCACGGAGATGCTGTCGCACGCGTCCGGGCAGAAGACCCGTGCGCCCCCGCGCATGAACGTCTTCTTCATCACTTCTCGGTCCTTCAAGATCACTGCTCCAACGTCGGGCCGCTGCACCTGCGCGCCCCCCTCCCCGTACCCGACGTCCATGCTGGGCACCTCCGGATCGCCCGGCTTCAAGAGCATCAGCGGCCGCGCCGGCGCTGCCGCGGGCGCCCCGCCGCGCGGGGCTCCAGCGGGGTGGACGGGGGGGTCGACGTCGGCTGGGGAAGTGCCCGCCCCCGTGCCGCCAGGTGCGCCCTCGCCGCCCTCGGGCTCCGGCACTGGCGGGGCCTGCGGAGTCGTCTGCGTCGCCTGCCACTCGTCGAAGCCTGGGAGACCATTCGGGGGCATCGCTGCAAGCTGGCTGCGAGAAGCATTCTCCAGAGCCTGCGACGCCAAAGCGGCGGCGGCGTCCGCGTCGCCCGGCGCCCCCGCTTGCCAAGCTTTCCGGACATCGTGGCACAGGCGGATCAAGTCGAACCCCCGCACGACGTGCGCCTCCTGAACGCGCAGGCACCGGTTGCGGAAGTCGGCCGCACCGTCGCGCTCGCCGACAGCGATCTCCAGCACCAACAGAGCGGAGGACAGCACTGCCAGGTGCCATGGGGCTGCCCCGAGGCGCGCCGCCTCCTCCACGTCGCCATCGTCGCGCCGCACGGCGCACTCCGCGTTGAAGCAGACGCAGAGCCCCTTGTGGGCGAGCAACGCGTCCTCGGCCCAAGGAATGACGGCGTGCGGCGCCGAGAAGTACTCCAAGACGCGCTCCGCAAGCCTCTTCATGGTCATGTCCTCCGGGATGGGGGCGGCCCTGTTCGCGACCCTGTACTCCGCGACCCAAGCGACTTCTCCCCGCTCGCCGTGCCGGAACCGCAGACGGCTGGCCGTGCCGTCCACGAGCTCTATCATGTAGCCGCTGGCATCAGGGTCTAAAGCGTCGTCCGCGTCGCCCTCGTCGTCGGACTCGTTGCCGCAGTCTGGGCGCCGCCGGGCCCGCTGGAGCTTCGCCCTGGCCCCCGCTGGCGCGGCGACTTCAGCCGGCAAGCCCAGCGGGCCGATCATGCACATCAGCAACTTCGGCCACACCCACGGCTTGAAAACCTCCCCGGCCCGAACTTGCAGCCGGGCGGGTACCGGGGTGCGCGGCTCCACTGGACGGCCAGTGACAAAGAGCAATCGCTCTTTCGCTGCGACGTGGTTGGACCCAATGTCGCCCCTCTCCATAGGAATGATGACTGAGGGGCGCCCGTTCCCGCTGGCGTAGCGACTTCGGTTTAGCAAAGTAGAGTGCCTTATCGCACTTATAGATGTAGTTGTCTCAGATGCAAATGTACTTACCGAAGCCGCAACTACACTTACACGGTGCCCCTAACCATACTTACACAACAACTTATAACCGACATATAACCATCTTATAACTTTCATAACTTTCATACCTTCTTCAATTTCCATGCCCCTCCCCTCCCCTCCCCCCCTGTGGTTCGGTAGTTAGCCAGTAGGACGGCGAGAAGAAAGGAGGGGGGAAGGGCGATGACAGCGATGCATTCGCTAACGCATTCCTGGGTATGAGCGATAAATTCGCTATGTGGTTCTCTGAGCGATCAATTCGCTGTGCAATTATCTGAGCGATCAATTCGCTATAAGCGATGAATTCGCTATGTGGTTCTCTGAGCGATCAATTCGCTGTGCAATTATCTGAGCGATCAATTCGCTATAAGCGATGAATTCGCTGTGCAATTATCTGAGCGATCAATTCGCTATAAACGATGAATTCGCTATGGGGCCCGTGCCCATGCCGCCCCCACTGCGCCATCATTCGAAGCCGTTTGCATACGCAAGCCCGCGCGTTTTTTTTTTTTGGGGGGGGGGTGGGGCCGCGTAGCCATGGCTGCCCAGCGCTTGCGCGACCAAGTCGAGGCCGTCGGGCGATTGCTCGAGGCAGTGCAAGGGCAGCCCTGTTTCGATACGGTGGCGGCCGCGCAGGAAAGGATGCTCGTGCAGGCTTTCGGGAGCGCGAGGCTGCAGCCCACGCAGGTGACAACCCTCTCGTCTCTCGTCGCAGCGCAACCCTGGTCCGAGGTTTCCAAAGGGAGGCTGTTGGAGAAGCTCGGCAGCATCGTGGCTTCTGGCAGCGCCGTGGGTTTGCGAATGGCTCAGCAGGATTATGAATGCATCTTCGGGTACCTGACAGCGGGCTCGTGGCACCAGTTGGCGCGGACCGACGTGCCCGAGGAAGCGAAGCTCAACGTGCTGGTTGATGTTGCGATTAGCTTAGGTCTTCGCAACCCGACCGAAGGCACGTATCAGATGCTGACGGCGATGTGGCGCATGGCCGTGGACGGAGCCGAGGCCGCGAAGAATTTGGCGTGGGCTGCAAAGTACTCGTACCTCCAGCAGACCAAGCGCGTGTTCAAGCGCCAGGCTGCAGCTGAAATTGCGGCCCTCGTCGAGGGGAGGGGGACCTGGGAGAAGGGAGGGTGGGGGAGGAGGAGGAGGAGGGGGAGGAGGAGGAGGAGGCAGTTTCCCCTGGCCGCAATTTCACCCACGAAGGTTTCGAGGCTTCCTGCGCCCCCCGTTCGGCTGACCGAGCTGCCTACGTCCCCCTCGACGTTCTGCGAGAACCACCCTGACTTCTTCAAGCAAGTGTATGGCGACGAGTTGCCAGCTGCATGCCCCGCGCCAGAAGCCGCGATTCGCTCCGTCCAGGCTACGTACCCATGCCGCAACACAAAGCAGCAGGCCACGGGGGCGCAGATGATGAGCGCCTCGGCGTCGCAGCCCGACGTGTTGCAGATGATGCAGCTCATGTTCGATAACTTGCGGCGGGCGGACGTCGGCGCTCAGACGGGCCCTTTGAACCTCAAGATCCTGGGAGGCGGCGCGAAACGTGCCGCGGCCTCGGCGTTCGCAGCCGCGGGGGGCGCCGCCCCGAGTTCTCTTCCATCTTCCGCCTCAGAAGGTGCACCGTCGCCAGCAGCGCCAACGCCACCGTCGCCAGCGACGCCTGCAGCAGCCAGCGTCGCCAAAGGGAACAAGACTCCCCCCAAGAAGGAGGGTGTCGCCTCGGTCACCGAGGACATCCTGCACGGACTCGTGACCAAGGAGAAGGGGGAGGGCCCGATGCCGAAGGCAAAGGGGAAGGCAAAGGGGAAGGCGAAAGCAAAGGCGACGAAGGCTGGGGCTAAAACGACGGGCAAAAGCCACGGGAAGGGCGTCACCGTGTCACCCCTGTTCAAGCCCACCAAAAAGCTCGGGTGTTCGAAGTGTCGTTACGCCAAAATGGGGTGCTCGAGTTGCAAAGAGCGGCTCAGGATTTCGAAGCTGCTGGGTAAGTAGCTCATAATGTGTGTAGGTTTCCTGAGGCGCTCTCGGCCGCGCTGGGTCCGCCGCGCACTTTGCTCATAGTCACGCGTCCAATGCATTTCGCTACCGCGCTTCTGTATATGGGGCCCTGGAGAGCGCATCCTAGCGTTTGGGTAAGCCGCGCGAGCGCCCCAGGGAACCCGGCCGCTCTCTTTTACTCTCGCGAGGGCGTGTCTTACCTTTGTCTGCGATAAAAAGAACAGCGATCCACTCGCTAAGCGATTCATTCGCTTGGGAGATAGACAGGGTGAGAGGGGTGAGAGGGGAGAGTGATGGACCGATGACTTGGAGAGGGGTGAGAGGGGTGAGAGGGGTGAGAGGGGTGAGAGGGGAGAGGAGGGTGAGAGGGGGGAGTGATGGAGGGGGCCTCGACCCCTCAAGCCAACCCCCAACCCCGCGTCAGCGATGCATTCGCTTTCCTCCGACCCCCCATCGAAGCAGCACTCCCTCCACCTCAATCCTGCGGCAGCGATGCATTCGCGTGCTCGCGGAGCGCCCCTGCGACCGCGCCTTCGCATTGCCATTTCGGCTCAAGGCCTCGGCGGCCGCGCCAGCGACAATGGCCGACGACGCGGGGAGGTCACTGCAATCGTTGTTGTCGTTGGACAACCCCTTTGCGCAGTTCCAGGATGGGGCCCAGGAGGCGGGTGAAAGCAAGGAGAGCGGGGGCGCTGGCGACGAATCGCGCATGAGTCCTATCTCAGACTCAGAGTCCGAGAGGCCGAGCGCCGCCGACAAAGGCAAAGGCTGCAAGGGCGAGTGGCGCGCCAGCGGCATGGGCGAGCCCGACAGCGGCGGCGAAGCGGAGGACCCTTGGGAGAAGAGGCGCAAGCAAGCGAGGGTGACCGCCTTGTGGAACTCCCCGCAGGCTCTCAGGGACGAGTCGGACGTGGCAAGGCAGTTCGGCGTGCCATGGGCCATGCGCGGCCCGCCTCCTCCAAGCGAGGGGGGGCCGACGATGTGGCGCGGCAACAGATGGTCAGAAGGCGAGCGGCTTCGGAAGAAACGCGGTGGCTCATCCAGGGAGTTCTTCGAGGAGAAGTACGGCTACGGCGGCTGGGGCTGGCAAGCAGGCCACGCGCCGAAGCGGCCTTCGGACTGGAAGGGCAAGGGCGGCGGCAAGGGCGCCTCCTCCAAGAGCGGCAACGGTCAGGAGCAGAGCAAGGGCGGCGCCTTCTCCGAGCGCGGCAAGGGCGGCAAGGACGGCAAGGGCAGCAAGGGCAGCGCCCCCGAGGGCACGCGGGCGCCGCGGGCGCAGGCCGCCTGGAACACTGATGCCCTCGAGGACATTTGAGACAAAAAACCAGCGATTGACTCGCTATGCAGTTCACAAGCGATTGAATCGCCATGCAGGTCACCTCTCTCGTCTACTTATCCTTGCCCCTCTCTCTTCTATTTCTCTTTGTCCCTTGTGCGCGCAGAGAGTGCAGAATATATTGTTGATAAACGAGCCCGCGAGTGATTCAACATATAGAAACGCAAGGCAAGAGTGGATCTTGATTCTGAAGAGATCCCACGGGGAGTTCTGTGAGAAATCTGGCGGGGCATTCCTTCACAACGCTCTCTGGGCTGTCACGCGCAAAAAAGTGCCCCAGATTCGGCGGGCCGTCCCCCCCCCCTCCGGTCGCCTCGGCTTGCTCGACCTCCTCGCTCAGCCCCCTTCGATGCGTCGGCATCCTTACGCCCCTGCCCGTTGCATTTCCTCTCAGCGATTGCATTCGCTCCATGGGGCGGGCCGCGCGAGTTGTCATCTGCATTCGTCTGGGCTCAATCTATTCAAAGCGGTTTTCTTTCTTAGCGGCCAAGGGCCAAGGCGCGCTCGGCGGGCAGCGATGGATGGACCGTCGGAGGCCGCGAGCTCTAGCGGCGCGGAATGGCTGTGGCGCGGCTTTTGCCCTCGCGGCGCTTGCGCGAAAGGTGGTTCTTGCCTCTTCCAGGGCCCTGACAGGGAGGTCGTGAAGGAGAAGGTGGCGAACCACTTGTGGTCTTCTCCCTACCACAACGTCGACAACACCCTCGAGTGGGAGGCGGCGTTGCAGGAGGCAAATCATGACGCGTACATTGTCTACGAGCTGGGCGCGCAGAAGAGCAAGGAGCGCACGCCACCCGAGGAACCGCCGCAAAGGCGGGCCGTTCAACAGCGGTCTTCAGGACCAGTCGGCCAGTACAAGTCGAAGGCAGTGGTGACGCGAGACATCACGGTGCGCAAGGGCGAGCTGCAGCAGGTCACGGGCTGCCTTGACAGGTCTCTGACGGCGACGGAACACGCCGCGACCATCGCACGCAGCGCAGCGACGGCGTTCGAGGACAGCGCTGCTGCGATCTCGGGCGCCAAGAAGACGCTCGAGAGCATCTGCATGCGCCGCGTGGGCTGAGCCACCCCAAGACGCGGCCTGCTGCCCTGCGCTCGGCCTGTCTCGGAAGCCCGCGGCTTCTTTGAGAAAAGAATAGCACCCTCGTGACCCAACTTGAGCGATCGAATCGCTGGCTCTTCCTCGAAACCCCATTTGAGCGATCGAATCGCTGGCTCCTCTTCGGCCCGCCCATGCGCGACCCGCCAAGAGGAGAGGGGGGAGAGGAGGGGGGAGGGAGGAGAAAGTACAGAGAAAGTAAAGAGGAGGCCCGCATCGGGGGCCGATGCTCGGAGGCCGAGGTCCAGGAGGACGCATTTTGGTCGGAGTGATCCGCGGCTTTTCCCG